GGGGACAGACAGACAGACACTGCCGGGGACAGACAGACACTGCCGGGGGACAGACAGACACTGCTGGGGACAGACAGACAGACACTGCCGGGGACAGACAGACAGACACTGCCGGGGACAGACAGACACTGCTGGGGACAGACAGACAGACAGACCCTGCGGACGGACAGACAGACCCTGGGAGCGTGATTCCTGCAGAAATGGGGGCTCAGTGACCCCTGTGTGTGACCGCGGGACTCATGGAACACGTGGGGGTGACAGGAGAGGGGTGCCCTCTCGTTCTGTTTTTTCTCTATTTCCATATTTTTCCATATTTCTGTTTTTCTCTATTTCTACATTTTTCTGTATTTACATTTTTTCTCTATTCCCACGTTTTTCTGTATTTCTGTTTTTCTCTTTTTCCACGTTTTTATGAATTTCTGTTTTTTCTCTATTCCCACGTTTTTCTGTATTTCTGTTTTTCTCTATTCACACGTTTTTCTGTATTTCTGTTTTTCTCTATTCCCATGTTTTTCTGTATTTCTGTTTTTTCTCTATTCCCACGTTTTTCTGTATTTCTGTTTTTTCTCTATTTCTGTTTTCTGGAGGGGGTCTCAGCATCCTGGTGTTCCCCCTCTTGCTGGGGAGTGGAACGAGCTGAGCTTTAAGGTCCGTTCCAACACAAATCATTCTATGATTCTATAATTCTCTGCTGTTGGTTATTTCTCCTCTGGGTGCTGGTGTAATTCTCTGGCTCAAGTTGACACCTATTTTATTGTGATATTTTAGTGCTGGATGAAGGGTGACAGTGAAGAAACCTCAGAAGGAATGGGGCAGCATTCCCAGAAATGGGAGTCCCCAGGCTCCTCTGTGGGTGCCAGACATTGGTCAGGCAGCACCAGGAAAGTGCTGGCATTAATTCTGCTGTCCCACACACACAGTGGGAACATGCTGTGGCCTCTTGAGGCTCCAGAGACGATTTCTTACCATTTATTTTACTGTCAAACTTCCCAGCACATGAGGGAATGAAACATGAAAGCAGCTGCTCAGGCCAGGATGGGGCTTGTTTCATCTGTCACCACGTACAGGTTGGGGCACAATAAATCCTGCAGCAACATAAAGAGCTCAGAGCTGGGGGGTCTCTGCTTTGTGGCAGAGGGGGACACTGGGATAAAGCCTGCAATCTCTGCTTGCATTTTATTGTTTAATTTGCTGTGAGCTTTATTAACCCTCTGCATGCCCTGGAGATGGTGTCTGTGAAGTGCTCCCAACACACACATTTCAGTTTTAGCTGGGGATGGACTCTGAGCAAAGCCCGATGGCCATGCAGAGTCAAATGGAAATTGTACAGGCACCCCTCGTTCCCTGCATTCACTAAAGCCCAGAGGGGCTTAAACCCTTGTTCTTTTCAGTTTCTTAAGGTGGGTGGAAAGTCCTGGTGGAAGGAAATGCCTGGCAATAAGCTGATGTTTAATCACATCTTTGGTGAGGCTTTATTCAATGTCTGTTGGCCACTGTTTTGTTTTGTGGATGGAAAACAGTAAATCCCAGCCCTGGGACTGGAACATGCAGGGAAGATAGTCATGGGAGCAGCTGTTACTGGGAAAAGTGGGAATGTTGGCTTTAAAGGCAGCCAGGCTCCAACTAAATCCTGGACCATGCTAGCAAACCCCTTGTCAGTCAGGTGGGGAGGGAAAACAACCACAGGTCTGAGCCTGAAACAAGTCACTCCAGTTTCTCCTGGACTCTGCAATGTGGATGAGCAGGTGCTGAGGGTCTGGAATGGGAATGGGCATCTCCCACTGAAAAGAGCAGCAACCACTCAGTAGTTACAACATCACATTTACTTAAATTCTGATGTTGTGGGTATGAAAGGCTCACATGCCTGGTGTGACTGTTCCTCATCCTGGTGCAAGGCATTCTCCTGGGAAAACCAAAATGCTCTCCAGTCACCCAGTTGGCCCCTGGCCTGATCTGAACAATGTCCCTTCACCCACAGCATGACCAGCAGTGCCAGACTTACTGATTTGGTGTGTTGGGTGGTTGGAGGGCTACAGGTACCTGTAATCCCCACTGAATTTTGGCCTTTATTCCATATCCCATGCCCATTTTCTTGTGCAGCATTTATGGGATTCTCATTGCTGTTATGTCAAGATGGACTTGGAACACGAGCACTGAGCTCTGCACATCATTTCAAATGTGAATATTTCTGCCCCAAAGAAGCCTCCCTGCCACCACCTCCACCCTTGGTGCAGTCAGGACTGTCCACCAGGCTGCAGGGAAATGGGAAATGCAGTGTCTTGGACAGGTTTTTGATCTTGGTCATTTCTTTATGGACTGAAAATCCAGACAGGATTTTGGACCTACCAAGTCTTCTTGAGTTCTTGTCCCTTCTGAGCCATGTGGGCACCAAAGTCTGTAGGAAGAGCTGCGCCAGTTGTCACTGCTCGGAGCAGGAAGGCTTCACAGCAGTGTTCCAAAAAGGGCAAACAGAACCTTGGAAGAGTCTTGTTCCCAGTTAAAACAGAGTTTTAAATTCAGTCTGAAATAGCTGTCCTTCAGCTGTCGCCTCTTGCCGTTTCTTCACTGCCCTTCCTTGGGTGAATGGACTTTCTTCCAGGGAAAATCACGTTTCCTCTGCAGGAGAAGCAGAGCCCAGTGAGCATCCCAGCCGTGCTGTGCCATCCTGCAGGCTCCCAGAGGCACCTGGCAGCTCAGCCCTGGCACACAGGGGTTAACACGGCCTTGGGTGGGTGGGTGGGTGGAAAACAAGCTGTGAAATGGAAGAAGGTCAAGCTCTTGGAGGAGGTTGCTCTGTAGCAGATGGTTTTAAATGATCAGTCCCTCTGGAGGTGAGGCCCCAAGAAAACTGTAAAACCAGGGCTGGAAATGAGGCAAAGCATGACCAGGTTTGTGGGATCACACGAGCAGTTGTGGCTCTCCTGGGACTCGTCAGACCCCACTGTCTGTCTAATTAGGAATTCCTCATTTGTTGAGACCCAACAGCTAAATGTGATGGAGACTGCACAGCACTGGCACTTTCCTGTGGGGAGCAAATGCCTGGAAAGGAGATGACACAGGAAGAGGAGCAGCAGAAATCCCAGTGCCTCTGGACAGCTCAGACCCTCTGGGATAAGCCTGCTCCTGCTGCAGCTGAGGAGAGCTGAATTCAGGTTTCAGTAGGGGCAGGTAAATGCATTCCAGGGCTTACCCAAAGTGTTACTCTCTTTAGAGACTCCTCTGGCAGTGGGGTTTATTAAAGGTGCAGCATGCAGTCAGCAGAGCCCCAGAGTGCTGTCCTGGACCAGCAGCACTGATGTCTGAGGGAGCATCTTTGGGGTGGGCATTGTCCAAAGCAGGAGGAACACAGTCCCACATCGCTAGGAAACACTGGCTGCTACTGAGAGGATTTCCCAGCAGCACTCCAGATTTCCCAGATCATTGTAGTCTTCTTTTTTTGGCTTTTCAACTTTGAAATTGTTTATATTTGACTTTGTAATTGCTTCTACTATCTATTTTATATCACTGCAAAGGTAACAGGGGATGTAGAACGGAAAGATCTTAGCCCAGACATCAGTTTGATTTCCTCTGTCAACATGCTTTTCTTGTGAACTGGGAAAGTTTAAACACTGTCGCTGGCAACAATGGTTGAAAAGAAAAAAGGAATGAAGAGAATTACTCCAGAATTTAATTTTCACATTTATCTTTTCAATTGTTGGTTGAAATGGTGATTCCCAGCCATGCAAGGGAGAAGTTTTTGATAGCCAGGTGAGAATTTTCTTTCTCAGACTAGTGGAAATCGTGCTCTTTGTGGTTCTTCTTCTTGATGCAATCTAACAGGAGTCTGAGCTGTGGCACCGAGGGTTTTCTGTGTGCTGCCTTCCCCTTAGCCTCAGATCTTAAACTTCTCATCTTCTCACAGGAAACCAGAGAAAAACCTTCTGTTTCTGCCAGGCCAGACCGCCTGTGAACCATGGTAAAAACCCTTCTCTTGCCACCTCCTGGAGCCAGCCCTTCCTCTGCAACTGAACGTGAGATTTAATATGGATTTATTCCCCCAGTGAAAGGAAAGCAGTGGCTGTGGGCTCCTGGGCTGGGATGAGTGAGAGCAGCCCTCAGGCCAGCCAGCTTCGCAGGAGAAGGGGCTGGAGACAGCCCAGACTGGAAATCTCTGTCAGCCAAACCTGCTCTAGGGGAGCTTTCTGAGCAGAGGAAGGAACACAAGGTCTGCAAGGGCAGATCTGGGCTCACAATGCACTCAACTTGTATTTCTGTGGGAAACCTGTCCATGGAAATCAGAGATCCCACAGTGCTTCGGGCTGGAAGAGAACTTTAAGACCATCTAATTCCAGCTCTCTGCCATGGTCAGGGAACCTTCCTGTGGTGAATGAGCAGCTTTGTGTGCTGCTCAAGGGAAAGGGGTCAGCCTGTGTCTGTGCTGGAAGGAAAGGAGCAAACTGAGCTGTGTCCTTTGGCTGCAGCAGTGAAGCTCTTCTGGAGCAACAGGATTTCTTTCAGGACTCTTGGGCTGAGGGCCAAGCCCAGGCATGGTTGACCCACACACAGATGCAATAATTCAGTGTTTTTACTTCTCTGCTAAGGAGCTGTGAGATCTCCTAAGAGCTCGTGGCCCCTGAGAGCGCATCTGCTGGTGTGTCCTGCACAGCCTGGTGTGCAGGCTGTCCTTTCCTTGGAGCTGCACAAGTGTTTGTCCTTCTTGGAGGCACAAGGTCCTGCCCTGGAGATGCAGTGTGGCCTTGAGTGATGGTCACACCTGGCCAGGCTGGCCCTGCCTGGGGCTGGCCTTGCCAAGGGCTGCAGGGCACCTCCCCTGGGCTGGGGGAGTTGGGGCTATAATGAGCCCCCAGGGCTGCCTCAGCTCAGTGTGGAGACACAGGCAGCTCCTGCCTACAGCCTCACCTTCTGTCGGAGGGGACAGCTGGGACGGGGACAACAGCTGTTCCTTTTTGTTTGTTTGTTTGTTTGTTTGTTGTTTCTTTTGCCATTCAGTACCATTTCCAGCAGACTGAGAAGGGGCTTGTGTTCCTTCCCACAGGTCACTGACAGCTGGGGCCATCGGAGCCGCTGGGTGATGAAGAGCTCTGTGCTGTGAGTGAACAAAGGACCTGGAGACACAGGAGTGGCTTCCAGAGCATCACCTCAGCAGCTCAGCCCGTGGAGGGGTGAGTCTGGCCATGCCAGCACTGCTGTGTGTGGCACTGGTGATGCAGAACTGGGAAGTGACACCTTTGTTGTCACACTGAATAATGTGAATTTGTGTTGCAGTGGGTCTGGAAATGGCTGTAAGTGTTCTGGGAGTGGTGGGCTCCCAGAGCAGTGTTTGTGCCTCTGGGGTGCACTGATTCCTTGGATTTCCCTGGGAAGATGCCAGGCTAAGATCTGCTGTCACTGGGGACTTGTGGCACTGGGATTCCTGAGGGTTTCCATCCTGGACAGTGAGCAGGGATGTGTTATCCCTCCTTCCTGGCAGTGAGACACTCTTGTGTTTGCTCTGGGATATTTCCTGTAAATCTGTTGCCTGTTTCTGTCATGAAAAACCTGTGGGAGTGTTGTGGCCACAGAAAGGCACAGCCTGAGCAGCTCTGCTGCTGCCATCCCATCCCTGCTGCTCCAAAGGGACTTGGATTCACTGTCCTGCTTGCTGCTGGGGTTCAATGGCTTTTTCTCCTTTAGAAAATAGGGATGGTAGGTGTCTCCTCTTGGCCTTTGGTATCAGTGCCACTTTCATACATAAATGGACACAGGGTATTTAGTTTGTGTGTCTGTGGATCCTGAGCAAGCACTTTGGTGGTGTCCATAATCCCTGGAGCAGAGGAGAAGATCAGGTCAGGTATAGATTTACCAGAGGGATAAGTCACACAAAATCTGATCCTTGGGCATTCCTCCTCTCTCTGCACAAGACCTCCATTCATCACTGGAGAGCTTGTGACGTTCTCCCTCTGTGACTTGCTCAGGAGTTTTCATCAAGTTTCCCTCCTGCAGTTGGTTTGCCTTTGGTTCTGTGGTTCTAACCAAAGCATTTGAAATTTTTCATTAAAACTCATCTGAAATGGGAAGACTCAAGCTCAAAAGATTACTTCAAGTTAACAAAAAACTGCGGAAAGCCAATCCAAAGCTAAAAGAGAAATTTTAGGTGAAATATACTCACTGAGTGTCTGGACCTTTGGGGTAAAGCACAGCTAGAATGTGACTGAGCTCACAACAATTTGGCATTTTGTTTAGAACATTTTCTGTGTCACAACTGCCCTGATTTTTATCATTTACAAAGAGAAATTCAAAGATAATTACAAAGAGAAAAGCTTTGTTAGGGCTGGAGATCAGGGAAAGGTTCTTCCCCCTGAGGGTGCTGGCACTGCCCAGGCTCCCCAGGGAATGGGCACAGCCCCGAGGCTGCCAGAGCTCCAGGAGTGTTTGGACAAGGCTCTCAGGGGTGCACAGGGTGGGATTGTTGGGGTGTCTGTGCAGGGCAGGGGTTGGATGTGATCCTTGTGGGTCCCTCCCAGCTCGGGATATTCCATGCCACATGCTCCTGTGAAAGAGAATGCTGCCTCTGTTGCTGACTACTTTATTATTGCTGGTTTGTCTGTGCTCGTGGCTTTGTCCCCGCTGTGTCTGTGCTCGTGCAGTGCCTGTGGCACATCCTGAGCCCATGGAACACTCACTGCGTCTCACTTCCCTACAGATTTGGCTAATTTTGCTCAGCAGTCTGCCAGCAATTATGTCACACCTTGTCTGAGTATGGCACTGTCTGAAGCCCATAAATATCTCCCTGTGACACCCCCAAGATCTACAAATCCTCTGACTCCCAAATGTTTCGCTTCTTCACTCTGCTGATTTATGGCCCAGCCCTGGTGTCCAGTCAGGCTCACAGGGAATGGTCTCTTGCTCTGTCTCATCCAGACAGATTGATGAACACACAGGATGAAGGGCACCCTCCCACCCTGCCAGCCTTGCTGCTTTATTTTGGGACATTGAAAATGTTGTCAGTAGCCAAGGGCTCGCTCCAGCTCTGCACTCAGAGCCATGGAAGCTTTTCCTCTGTCTCCAGTGGGGATGTCCCTGCAGCTGCAGAGCGGACACAATTCTGCCTGGGATGAGGAATGGCCAGCTGGATAATTGAACAAGGCTAATTCAACAACAGGGATGTGTTTCACAGAGCACTGAGAGTGCTGAGCTGCTGCTTCCAGTGCCAGCCCCTCGTGCTGGGGGTGTTTGTCAGCAGCACTCACCTGGGGAGGGGTGACTCCCTCTTGGAAGCATTTATTCCATTGAATAAATCCTCATGTGCACACCAAGGTTTCAAGCACCTGTGAGTGAAGGAATGAATTACACCATGACAATTTTTGGAAGGCTTTTGCTGTCTCATTTTAAAAATTTTGTGATTTTTTTTTTCTTTTTTCTAGATTGAACTGGAGTCAGAACAAAACCATGGTCATTCATGTAACAAGGGAGCAAAAAATCTAAAAGTAACCAGGGGTAGGGTTAATGACTCTGTGCCAACCAGGGTGTTATTTTCTGGTCCTTATTTAATACACAAGACACTGGAAAATGCAATGTGGTTGGATTCATTACACTGAAGGAATGTTCCCTTCATATCCAGCACTGTTATTTTAACCCTGCAGTCAATGTGTGGCATTAACATGCTTCCTTCTCATTCTCCACAAGTCAGGAATTCACAGGAGTTTAAGGACTCACAGGAGATTATTTTTAATCCAAGTGAATTTCTGGGATCTTTAAGGCTCTGTAAACTCAGCAGTTTATACATAATGCACACAGTGCATGTTGTGCACTGAGAGATGAGGCCTGTTACTGCCTGTGCAAACATTGTCAGTATTTGAGGGTTTTACCAAACTAGATTTGAATTTATCCCTCTCTCAGCAGTTGCTTGTTGTGGTAACACATGTCCACAGCCACACCAGGCTGAGAATGAAACATTCTGACACGAAACATTCTGACATCAAACATTCTGACACGAAACATTCTGACACGAAACATTCTGACATGAAACATTTGGAGATGAAACATTTGGAGATGTAGGGAAAGGCCTTGCAGCTGAATTTGGACCACGTTGTGTTTCAGGGCAGCTGCTCCTCAGCCCTGCCCAGCGTGGAGGAGTCAGGAGCAGCGAAGAATAAATGCAAGTGTGACATAAACAGAGCTTAGGGAAAGCTGCTGCAGGCTGGTGTCAGGTCCTCCTGTTTGGTGAGTGCTGTAAGCATCAGACATTCCAGCTCCAGGAGTGGTGACATGGCTAGGAAGGCACAAGAAGCAATAGGGGATTATGTTTGTTGTTAATAGGATTCAGTAGTGTGGAGGACAAGTTAAATCCATAGGAGGGTGATCAAGAGCCTCTCAAAATCCCAGCCATTCACTGTGCAATGCCCTGCCCTGGAAACAGCTTCTTTTCAGTTCAGTTTTGTGTCTTTTCCTTCCCACAGGTTCCTCATGCCCTTCATTCCCAAGTTTTAAGACATCTCCCAGGGGTTTGCAGAGCTGTGTGATGTGCCAGACCAGCAGCACACAGATGAAATGCAAACCCCTTGTTGTGGAGGGGGCAGCAGAGGTCAGACCAGGCCAGGAGGGGACAGGAAAGAGGCTTTGGCTGGTGCTCACACAGCCTCTGCTCTTCCCAGTGCTGCATTTCCAGGGAGGCTCACAGAGATGTCAGCTATTGCTGAGATTTGTAGGGTGTGCAGAGCCCCAAAACAAGATTTGTGGTAAGGACAAAGTGGAGCCAGTGATTTTTTGCAGGGAGGTGTTTGTGGTTCTTTGCAGCTGCTGAATAATGACAAGAAAAATTTTGGTTCAGAAGCTGACCCAGGGGTACTGTGAGTGAAACTCTCTTTGGCCTGGCTATGGGATATCCAGCACTAATTATTTTAGTTCACTAAGTTTGCTCTTACCTTTAGCTGAAACCAGTTCTCACCCAGACAATGCAGCTTGGAGCTGAACAAGGAGATGTTGGGGTCATCCCCTGTGTTCTCATCAGGTGCCAGAGCTCAGCTGGATGAATGCTGCTGCAGGTGTGCTCCCAAAGCCCCTGTGCATTTCCAAACTGATGGAAGCTGCATGTTCCTGTGTCCCTGTGCTGCCAGGAGTGCAGAGGGTAAACAGAGATGCAGCACTAATGCCACAGGCAATCCAATCCAGTTGCTCTTTCAGGGCTGCAGTAACTCTATAGTTCTTGAGCATCTCTCACATGACAGAGAATCTGCTTTCCCAGCTTGCTGCAAGGCAGGAATGTGTTACATTACACATTGTCCAATTTAAAATACAGAGAAAGAGACTCCTTTGGCAGAAGGTCCCAAGTTATGTATAACATAACAATAACTCCTTAATGCCAAGCTCACACTTCACCATTCCCTTCTAAAGGCTTCTTGTCTGCTCTCAGGTCTGTTGCTAATTTAACCAAGCTGAATGAGATCAGGATGTACCTCTGCTCCATGCCCCAGTTTAGACATCCATCTCTGTGGTTTTCTTCTCAGCAACTGCTCTTGCTATCCATCAGAGCCCACCACGTGAGTGCCATGTGGTGAATGTTTGCCTGAAACACGAGAGGAGGTCTTCAGAGGAAAGCCAGGTGACACAGAGGGATGCTACTGGATGTGTGCATTTTCCATTCAGCCCTGCTAATCATCCTCAGTTTGTGTTGGGCATGGCAGGCTGGTCTGTCTTCACTTGGCTGCAAGGGTGTGGCAAGAGAGGAAGGGCAAACCTTCACTAAAGGCAGCAGTGTTAAGGTCTGTCCTTCCCCTTGCAAACTGTAAATAATGAAATGATTTGTCTTTTTCAAAGGAGAACTTGTGATCTGTTTGTGCTGACCCCAGAAGGCTGAGCAAAGCATCATGAGCAGCCATCAGCCAGGTGAGAGAGCAGACACAGCTCCGGGGAGCTGGAGTGGTACCACACGAGGTATTGTGAGGGCTCCAGGAAATCACACACAGCCACACAGGTTTTCTCATGAGGCAGAGAAGTCCTTGTTTTGGGGTTTCTCAACCCATTTATAAGGTGTTCTGATTGCAGGTTATCCTGATTGACAGAAGGAACAACACCTCCCTCATCCCATTGGTGGGACAAGAGAGAAAACACTCTCAGAACATTTGTGTCTTGTTTTGGGAAAGTAAAACCTTATTTACACAAACAATCCTTGAGAGGGAACAGTTCCCAAAAGGCTTTTCCTTGGGAACAATCAGCCCCTGAGAGCTTGAAATTCTCTCAGGTTCAGAAATCATGTCCATGGGAACCCCTAGGAATAACCCCAGCTTGCTTCTCTAGCTTGGAGATGGCAGGGGCTGACCCTCCAGCTCTGACTTGGCAGCAGATTTTGTGTTTGATTTCTTTCTTTGAGCAGGTTTCTCATGCCAGATTTTGTATTTGGAACAAGAACTCTTGCAAAGCTTTCCCTGCCCAAACCATTGCTGGAGCTGTGAGCTGAGGTGGTCCTGCATTAGGAATTTGCAGAATTTCCCACTTGGACACAACTTTGGCAAAGCCAGCACAGAATCCCAGAGCCTTGGGACACATTTACAGCCTGTGGCCCTGGAATGGGTGGGACCTTTGTGCTCCAAGAGGAGCAGGAGCAGTTGTTGCTCTGCAGGAGGCAATGCAGGTGGAGAGATTCTCTCTGAAGGACAAACATGTCAATTTAATGTATTTTTCCTTGCCTTTCTAGTAAAAATCTTCAAGAAATCTTCTATCCCAGGAGTTGTTGTCACTCAGTTTGTGAATGATGTTCCACAAGGATGCAGTACACCTGATTTTGAGAAGAAACCCCTCACTCTGACACTGCAGGAAGGTGAGACTCTTGACAAACAGGCAAAGCCACGGATCTGGAGGTTTGACTCCATGTCCCACCTATCATGATTAAATCAAGCTAGTTTCTAAAGTGGTTTGACATGACCACAAAGAAAGTGTTGTGTGGGCCAAAGTCTTTGTTCCACTGCAGACAATTCCATCAGTACTCACAGAGGTCTCCTGAGCTGTCACTGTGTTTGCAAGACCATAACTCCTACGTGTACAGCAAATCCAGTGAGTTCTGGAGGAAGCTCTCACTGTAAGGATTTTTCAGCAAAAGATTAAGGACATTGAAAAAGTTGTTGGGTGTTTTTTTTTGTTTGTTTTTTGTTTTCCTGTTGAAAGAACTTGTGTTCACCACTAAAATCAGCTGCTTTTTAAAGTGGGATGTGCTGACTGCAGGTGCTGTTTGGGCTACAGCAGCCTTCCAGTGCCTACGAGGGCTCCAGGAGAGATGGACAAGGGCCTGGAGTGCCAGGACAAGGGGAATGTTGATATTGGGAAGAATGGGATATTGGGAAGGAATTCCTCCCTGTGAGGGTGGGCATGCTCTGGCACAGGACTGCCCCATCCCTGGCAGTGCCCAGGGCCAGGCTGGACAGGGCTTGGAGCAGCCTGGGACAGTGGAAGGTGTCCCTGGCAGGGCAGGGGTGGAATGGGATGGACTTTGAGGTCCCTCCTACCCAGGCCATTCCATGGCTGTGTGGTGATTCTGGAAGGACCAACATAAGGATCTTGCCCAGAGCACAGAGCAGGCAGCTGACGAGCCAGGAACTGAGATCAGTGAGGAGCCTCCCAGAGGTCTCTCTGCACCTGCAGTGAGTCCTTTTTTCTGTTGTGGTGGTGGGGAGCAGCCTGAGAACATCGTGTGGCACCTCTTTCCTGCCAGGACTGAACCAGCAGCTTGGATTTTGGTGTTCCACACTCACATGTGGAATTCCAGGAGCCACTGAAGTTTTATAAAGGAGCACGGTGGCCTCTAGTGGAACCTGCCCCTCTTCCTCCTCCTCCACCTGCACCTTTCAGGCACCACCCAAAGCCCCTGGCTAAGTTTTCACCCGAGTTTTCACCTGTCTCAGTTTTCACCTGTCTCACTTTTCCAAGTGACTCCATTTCCAGCAGGTTCTCTGCAGTTCCCACACAAACTGTTGGTGCACTCAGGTCGGTCACTGTGATTCTGTGTCTGTGCACAGGCACCGTGAGGACCTTTAATTCTCTCATAATCGCTGCTCAGAGCTGGTTCTCCTGCCTGGGTGGCCTGGGACAGATGGCAAACGGGGCAAAGTGCAGCCAAGGTGGCTAAAATGTAACACAGGGATAATCAGTGAAATCAGACTTTAATAAGACATCTCAATCTCAAAGGCTGGAAAAGGCCTTTTGATAAGGATCTGTTGGCAGGAACTTGTTCCAAGAAAGGTATGAGAAATATTGCCAGACTCTCCAGGGAGAATCTTTAACAGTGTTGGTCACATGAAGGCCAAAAGTATTAAAAAATAAGAGAGAGTGATCATTTCCACCCTGAGGTGTTTCCATGGATAACTCACCTCATTTCTATTCCCACTCACCCACACAAGTCACTCCTCTGACTCCATTTCCAGTGTTCCCCGTGGTTTTGGAGCCTTTTGGAGAAGAGGTTTGCACAGGGCAGTGGGAAAGCTCTCAGACATTTCTGTGGTGTGCTGCAGGGCGCTGAGGTTCCTGGGGAGCAGGGATGAAGGACAGGAACCCCCTTCTCTTCTCCTCCCTTGTCTCAGCAGAGCCTGGTGGGTTTGGGGTGCAAGGTGGTGCCAATTAAAGACTGGAGAAACAGTGGGATTTTATAGAGAATATTTGTGATGAGAAGGGGTTTGGACATTTCATAGGTAAAATGCAAGTCTGGATTGAACTTGCTGTTGGGCTTCTGATTTCAGTGATGGTCAGAGATGTCAGCAGCCACATCTGGCAGGTTAATGCCCCATTTTAAAGGCCTTTTATGATTGAATACAGGCAAAACCTGAATTATTGCTGTGCAAAAGAAGATGTTATCTTTTAAGAATGTTTCTGCATTAAATAGCAGAAATTACTCACTCTGGGAATCACTCTTGATAAAATAAGGGCAAGGCCTGAGAGTCCTCATGTTCAAGCCTGTCTTAAATAACTAAATTCTTGTCTCTTCAAAGGTAAAAATGCCATTTTCAGAGCTGTGGTCAAAGGTGTCCCAACTCCTGAGGTGAAATGGTCACGTACACGGAAAGCAATGGATGATTCTGCCAAATACGAAATGTCCTTCAATGGTGCCACAAATGAATTCATTCTGCAGGTAAAGATCAAATATTTCAGAAAGGACTTGTGGAACTGAGAGAAATGCATAGGAAAAACCTGCAGTGGGATGAGGGGCAGCTCTGATCTCTGCTCTCTGAGCAGGGACAGCACCCAGGGAAGGGCTGGAGCTGTGCCAGGGCAGGCTCAGGCTGGAGATCAGGGAAAGGCTCTTCCCCCTGAGGGTGCTGGCACTGCCCAGGCTCCCCAGGGAATGGGCACAGCCCCGAGGCTGCCAGAGCTCCAGGAGTGTTTGGACAAGGCTCTCAGGGGTGCACAGGGTGGGATTGTTGGGGTGTCCTCTCCAGAAGCTGGACTGGATGGTCCTGTGGGTCCCTTCAGGCTCGGGGTGTTCCACGATTCCACACACCCCCAGCTCTGAGATAACACAAAGATGAGCAAACAAAGCTTTTTAGAGCCCTCCTGGGAGCAGAAGAAGCCTCTGAGGTGCCACTGAGTAGCTGCTTTATGGGAAGCTGAAGGTGAACTGAGCCCCAGTCCTTTGTGTGAGCAGTTTGTGTGCTCTCCCTTTGAAGATCAGGAGCGTGGTTGTGGATGACAGTGATCTGTATCGCTGCTGTGCCGCCAATGCCTACGGAGAGGCCTCGTGCTCCGCTGGCCTCAGGATCATCCAAGGTAGGGCTGGCAGCTCCAGGGCCCCAGGCAGGGCTGTGCTGTTCCCTGGCTTGGCTCTCCAGCATTTTGTCTGGTTATTCTTGCTGTGAAGGTCTGGCATCCCCCTCATTGAGGGCTTTTTGTGGCTCCCTGGCATTGTGAGCTTTAAGGCAAGGGGGAAGAAAGTGGAATTGTGCTCACTGGTCCATAATCAAACACCCTGGATTTGGTGCTGAACTGCCTCAGTCTTTTCTTTATGTTGTTGAACAAATCAGTCCTTTGGCAGGGATCCATCCCTCTGCAGCTGTCTCTGGACCTCGCTGCTGCTTCCCTTGGTAGTCAGTGCAGAGAAATGGGCACTTTGTGGCTCAGATACAACTGATATTCCTGGAACCCACTCCAGCAGAAGATGGATTCTATTGGAAGTGTCCAGGTCACCTCTGTGCCTCTCAAGTCAGTTTAGAAGGCACCTATCTGCAGCTGCCATTTCCACCCTGGCTCCCAATCTCCAAAACAAGGTGTTGATATCTCCTCCCATTGTTTATACCATAAAATTGTGGGGTGAAAATGCTTTCCTTCTCTGTGTGGAGTCTCCAGCAAGCACAGAGTCAATGGCAATAGAAATATCACCTTTATAGGTGGAGATTACTGGGGGCAAATGTCAGATTGACAAGGAAATCCTGGAAAACTGGGATTCCCTCTTGATCCCACAGATACAGCAGTTTCATGACTCATTGGCTCAGTGCTGTTAATCTTGTTCATCCAAAGGCTTGTTTTCCTTCTGTTTTCTTTTATAAATGCTCAGTTGGCTTTAAGAAGAAGGCGAAATATGTTCCTGTTCATGCTGCTGATGGTAAGTTAAAGATCTACATGTGTATTATATCACTGGGGGGGCAGAGTGAATAATCCTCTGGCACACTATTGCTACCCCAGACTTGTAAAGACTGGAGTAAGAGAAGGACTAATGAGCATCCAATGTTCTATCATCTCTGTCTGCTTGCTCGTTACCTTTTGCTAAAGTGATCATTTTAGACACCGTTTTGGGCTGCTCTGGTTACTGATTGTGGAATCATTAGGAAAGGAAAAGAGGATCTGGGGATGTTAAACACATTTGGATCAAACTTGTTAACATGGGTGAAAGCAGTGTGTCTCTGGAGGGAAGCCCCTTAGGGAGAGCTGAACTTCCCTGGCACTCAAAGGATGAACATGGCAGTGAGAACTGACTAAGTTTCATGGTAGTTTTTTGGTAAAGTGTGAAAAAAACACCAGAGGAAAGGCCTCAGCAGAATGACCTGTTGTCAGTGGCTATTCTGCATTATCTTCTTTGGGAGGGTGTGTTTCACAGTGCTGGGGATTTTTGTTTTGAAGCAGCTGTTTGTTGTTTCCCCCACTCTTGCAACAGAGCTCAAGAAGACACTCCTGGACTCCAAGAAGCTGCTAAGGAAGAGGTAAAGCTCTGGAGTCAGGGCCAAGCTCCCACTTCTGGATGTTTCTTGGTGGTAGGGATCAGCTCCAGAGACCTTCAGGGCAACACTTCTTGTGTCCAGAGTTGTGGTGAGGCCAGAAGAGCTTGGCACTGCCATTGGGCTGAGATAAACACACGGCTCCACCTTCATCTGGAGCATTTCCTCTGCACCACAGGGCTCTGACAGGGAAGCTGTGCTTCTCTGCTCCCCTGGGTTTGTTTCTCTCCTCCCCTGGGTTTGTTCCTCTGCTCCCCTGGGTTTGTTTCTCTGCTCCCCTGGGTTTGTTTCTCTGCTCCCCTGGGTTTGTTTCTCTGCTCCCCTGGGTTTGTTTCTCTGCTCCCCTGGGTTTGTTTCTCTGCTCCCCTGGGTTTCTCTGCTCCCCTGGGTTTGTTTCTCTGCTCCCCTGGGTTTAGCCCATGAGCATCCTCCTGTCCAAAGGACAGCTCTTCGTGCCCTGCTGGCTCTGGGTGCCCAGGGGCTGAGCTCTGCCTTGCTGAAAATGATCTTTGTGCAGAATCCTGAGCTGGGCTGGCCAATTACCTGGCCTGGGCCAAACTGTGTCAGAGCCTTTGGTGATAATTCAGCAGTGTGGAAGCTGTTCCCTGGCACCATTTAATTTGCATTACAGATGCAGAAAACCTGCTCTGGAAGGGTCCCAGTCTTTCCTGCCTGCATCTCTAGGGCCAAATGAGCTACAGAACGATGGGGAGAGAGGAAAGAGAATTAGGGATAGAAAAGCAGGACATCCTGTTGTCTGTGAAAATGTCTGAATGTTTCCCCCGTGGTTCTCAGGGCTGCAGCACCAAAACCAAAGCCCCTGGACAAAGAAGCTGTATGGCAGCTGCTGCTGCATGCAGATAAGAGAGATTATGAGAAAATCTGTATGAAATATGGAATTGTTGACTTCCGTGGGATGCTGAGGAAGCTGCAGGAGATGAGGAAGGACACAGAGAGTGAACAAGACAAGGTAAAATTAACTGAAACCACTCGTTTTTACCAAATTGCGGCTTCTGAAAAGAGGCTAAATCTTCCTAAATTGCTTTGGAGATGAAAATTTTGTTGTATGGCAGTGATTTATGACAATATTTTAAAGAAGTTCCATTTCTTTACTCATGCAGGTGAAAATGCTGATGAATCTGTCATGGCAGCTTTATCATTTACTCGGTTCTTCAATATTTCTTTGCAGTTAATTCACAGGCTCAAAAACTTTGAACACATCAGAGTCAACAAGGAGGGAAATGCTACCTTTAGCCTGGAGATGGAGCTGAAAAACAGCAACAGCAACGTTTACCTGCTCAAGGTGAGGGGGATGAGCTGGGCAGCAGCAGCCTAGAGCAGCCCCTCAAGTGTTCTACAGGAAAGAACTAGGCCAGGCACTGCTAGGCAGTGGCTGGGAGCAAGTAAATGCCTTAAAGTTGTCTGACTTCTGCAGATCCTTGCTTGCTTAGGTAGCAGCGTGGCTGTGGTTTGGTGGGGAAGGTCTGTCTTGGTTTGAGAAAGACAGGTGTCTGCTAAGGAAGGCAGAAACTTCCCTTGAAATAAATAAAAATGTAAACCACCCACTCCCCCTGCAAAATATTGTAATCTTGACATTAAGGTGCTTTCAGGCAAAGATACAGGAATAGGAATAAGAGTTCTTTACTAAGGAAATGAAAATAAAAATGCAGTAGTACAAAAAAGAAAACTTAAAAGAAAAACCAAAGAAACAACCAACAAGGCAGTGACAGTCAGAATACAACCTGCCAGCCTGTTGGTCAGGGTGTTGGTAGCAGTGTGATTAAGTGGTGGCTGCAGTCCTCCTGGAGTGACAGATGTGGTTCTGTTGGAGCAGTGATCTTACAGAAGGGTGTAGTTTAATCTGAAGGTCCAGTGCTGGTGTAGATGGGTCCGGTCTCCTCTGGGATCCAGTGGACAAAGGCTGCTTGTGGTGTTTTGAGTCTCCAAAGAGATACAGCTGGAAATGCTTGGCTCCTTCCCCTGGGTGGAGCATCTCAGCATGGGATGATGGAATTGTATCAGCCATGCAGTGAGACTCAATGGGCAGAAGAGATCCCCCTGCAGGGAGGATGGGTCCTGGAAGAGGTAAAGAGCACTGCCCCAGTGGGTTTTAACAGATATTAATAGAATAAATTAGAATGCAAGTTACATCTTGCATTGCAAGCCAAGCCAATATCCCTGGGGGTTTGTAGATGCAGGTATGGAGCATGCAGTCAGTTACTGACATCCTTGTGTCTTCAGGAAATTCATAGAACAGTTGTGTTGGAAGGGACCTTAAAATTCATCCCACCCCCTGCCTTGAGCAGGGACATCTTCCACCAGCCCAGGCTGCTCCAAACCCCATCCAGCCTGGCCTTGGGCACTCCCAGGGATCCAGGGGCAGCCCCAGCTGCTCTGAGCAGCCTGTGCCAGGGCCTCACCACCCTCATGAGAAAAAGCTACTTTATTATATCTAAACTGACCCTCCTTCAGTTTAACACCATCACCCCAACAGTGTCTTTAAGGCTGCAGAAATTATGCTGTTTCACATACATTTTATTCACTTTTTCAAGTGTGTTCTTGCACTGTAACTCCCTCTGTGAAAGAAGATCTCAGGGTTGTGAAACATTCCCTCTGCACCCACAGTCCCAGGGATGGGAGTCACAGGTGCTCAGTGCTGGGCCTGTTTTTCTGAAAGATAGTTTTTAGTCAAATTGTGTTTAGAGGCTTTTATCCAGGGGAAATCAGAATGCCCTGAAGGGGAGGACAGAGTAACTTTGAATCCCCTGGATCAAATATATCACAAAAAGTCTATGAGCCACAATTTGGACAATGTAGCCCAAGTGTGCTCTAGAAAGTGATGAACTCTCCTGCTCATCCAGCTATAAGGATACTGAAATCTAAGCCAAGAAAGTGCCTTGTCTTTGTAGCTGCAATAACTGTGTATTAATGAAGCTTTAGACTCTCATCTGGGTAGCCAAGAGCTGTTGTTTTGCTGAGTTTCAGAACCTGGTGGCCTGCTCTGTGCAGGATTCACTGCCCAGACAGCGCCTGTGTGCTGCAAAGAGCCCTGGGCACTGTGAGCTCACTCATTTATATCAACAAGGGGCTTGGAGCATCAACCTCTCCTCTCCTCTCCTCTCCTCTCCTCTCCTCTCCTCTGTGTCTCTCTCAGGATGGTGAGAGGCTCAGGTACGGGACAGGGGATGAGTACAGGAAGC